AGTAAACCAACCATTTCTCTAAAAAGAATGAGTCACCAATAAGTGGACATTCACTTGTTTCTGAATTTCTTTGCAAGAACAAGCAATCCCTGTCATATTCATTATGTACAAGAGAGAGTTTAGTTACAAGTACTTGGGGTCACAAGAACATGCTCTTGTTCCCAACCGAACCCAAAGGAATTGGTCCAAACCACCAACGCACGTTGTTGCTACTCCTACCTAGAGCCTGCCCTGTACTCACACTGCTTCTATATTTTATATTCACTTATTTCTGAAGTATGATGCTCGATTGGCACCAACAGCAACTCGTATGATATTCTTACAGAAATCACCAATAGCAAGTCATCTGATAAGAACTAGCTACATGGTCGCAATAGTGGTCGGGTTGTGCTAGTCTTGGGTTGTGTCGAAGGAGCTCCAGGACGGTTTTGCCTGAAGAGATTGGGGAAGAGTTCGACAGTGCAGCAGCTGCAAAGAAATATCATACTGCAAAGGCATGTCCGGCTCGGATCCCAAACGGGAACTCCAACGCATGGCTGGACGGCTCCATACATCGCAGTAGGGCAAGGCCTGGTGCGTCCGCAGGGGAGAACTCCACGCCTAGAGGCGATGGCCACCCGCTTGGATCTCTGCCGGAGAGGCTGCCGTCGCTGGGAGAGGTGGCCGCCTCCGGCGTGTCTCCATTACAGCGTCCAAGGTGCTGCCGCCAATCACCGCTCTTCGTGGCAGGAAATAGTCGCTGGACTCTGGTGGTCTTGGTCGCCGCAGCCGTGGCCGTGGCCGCCGGCGAGATGCAGAGATTGGGAGGAAAACGATTGAGTGGTTAACTGGGAGAGTTGGTCTCGTTGGGGTCTCTTTTGAAAAGTTGACATGGCAAACTTGGGTGGATGTGGGCATGTTTGTGCAAAAAAGACAGGGCACAAACAGCAGGCACAAGATTTTGATCCAACGACTGATAATGACAGGATACAAGGATTCACGAAGACGCCGGATTCACAGGATAGGCTGCCTATATATATACTAGTACAAATGCCCGTGCGTTGCACCGGGTGAAAAAGAAGCACAACCTGCTTCATGTGCCATTATGCATCATTTTTAATGTCCAATTTTAATAAACATCAATAATAAGGTTAAACTGATTAGTGTTTTTAACTCCCGAACGTGAAGTCGCTCCTCCTCCTCCAAGAAAGAAAGCTAGGGTTTCTGCCTCTCGCTGGCGCCGCCGCAGGTCTGCCTCATCTCTGGTGGCCCTAGGGCCACGGGGGCGCGGTGGATCCTGCCAAGGGCCAGCGGGAGGGCTCCGTTTTCAGTCTTTTTTCCTTGTCTTGTTAGGGTTTGTGTCATGCTCAGGAAGGCGAGACGGCGGCGGCTCCCTGAAGATGGAATAAAGGACTCCCCGCCTAGCCCCCGTTCCGGCGGTGCATCTAGCATCGTTGGTGCGCGTGTGGAGGTGTGTCTCCGGCGGATCTATCTTTGGTGGATTTGCTCGAATCTCGTCGTTGTTCGTCTACGTTCGTGTGTCTTCGGGTTGAATCCTTCCAACCTACGTTATTCTTCATCGGCGGCGGTTGCTGTTCTGGTGCGCCGATCCTATGGGGCCTTAGCACGACGATTTCCCGACTGTCTACTACAACAAGTTGTGCCCGACTCCGACGATGGAGGGGTGATGACGGCGGCGCGCCTTCGGCTCGCTTCAGTGCTTGTAGTCGTTGCTAGGTGGTCTACGAATCTAGATGTAATTTTTATTTCTAGTGTTCATTGTACTGCCATGATTGAATATGAATAGATTGGAAGCTTTTTCAAAAAAAAATTAGTGTTTTTTTAGCATGAAGATTGGACGTGAAGAAGCCAACATACCATTCTTCATCGGATGGAACAATAGTTTTGCATAGAATAGATTGTCAATCGTTTTTCTTTTGCTTTTCTGAAAACGCAGAAAATTCCTTATTTGTAATAAAAGTTATCGTTTTCATAAAAAAAACAGGAACACATTAGCTTCCACCCACTCTGATGCATGCTCCAAGAATATATATTTCTTCTTTTTATCCCATCCACGAGACATAATGATGTCACCAAGATAGCTTGTCAGCCATGGATACATTGACATGACAAAAACAGTAATTATGTTCATACCTTGTGAGTTACTCCCTCCGTCACATAATATAAGAGCATTTTTAACACTGCACTAATGTCAAAAACGATCTTATATTATGAGACGTGGGGACTATATTCTAAGTAGAATATAAATGACGAAGAAACAAATTTTCTGTCCATACTCATTACTCTGTACACTTGTCCTGTAACAAGTTAATCTTGTGTTATTACTCTACGCAAATGTAGAGTGTAGTAACACTTGTATGGGAAAATGATCAACCAGATGATCTGCAAGAGCAGACTACCTTATCAGATATTAGTACATGACTCTCTTTCTTGCTGCTATTACTCGGTACACTTGTCCTGTAACAAGTTAATCTTGTGTCATTATAGAACTTAGTAGAGTTTAGTAACACTTGTATGGGAAAATGAATAACCAGATGATCTACAAGAGCAGACTACCTTATCAGCTATTAGTACATGACTCTCTTTCTTTGCTGCTGGTAACTTATAACAGTAATGCAGAACACGAAACTCAACTCAATCAAGGTAATGTGTATGCTCCCCTCCGAAATACGCCCTTAAAGAAGAAATAGTACTCCTTGTGAAAAAGAAGAAATAACAGTCAGCTCCATGTAAAAAACTATTATGCTGCAATAATAGAAATAGAAGTTACGAAAGGCTGACCAGTTATTCCTGCCCACTAAGCAAATCTGTAGCACTATCCAGGTGGGGTTTGGTTTGTTAATTATTTGCACAGTTTCACCAGGTCCGCCGTATAGCAAGGAGCACTATGCTCTATGGCAGGTGACGAATGAATGGGCTATATAATAAGACGTAGGTCAAGATTCAGTGAGTACTACGGCAGGAATCAATGAGTACTGCGGCAGGAATCAATTAAGTGAACACATTAACGAATCAGCTATACCAACCCATACAGCAAGAAGCACTACAACAGGAATCAATTGACAACATTATTGTATCAAATGGCTCTATGCCCATATTGTACAGCAAAAAACATTATTGTTGCAGCTAGTTTGACAAAGGAAACAAAATGGCAACAATATAGATCGAAGAGGTGCTTGCTTGAGCCTATGCCAACAGACCAATTGTGTTAAATACTTGCTCACATCAATTTAAATTGCTAGTTTAACCATCAGTAAACTCTGGTTGTAAAAACTGTAAATCAGACATAGCTCCGTCATAATTTGCACAAAGAAAAAAGATACCTGCGGCGAAGTAGGTCTAGGTGACGACTGATGGTCTTCCGGCAAAAAGTCGGCGGAGACGATGGCGGATGGTCTTCCAACTAAGATCTGTGTGTACCTATATGCCTTCAGTAGAGAATCTAGAATTTTGTGTTTGGGACATTCTTTCAGTAATTCCCTCCCAGCTCCATCTTGGCTGCGGCATGGTGATGAGATCTGCTGGCCCATGTTGCCGAGAGAGCCATTCAGCAGTAATCAAGCATAATTTCTTACATATATAATTTCCATGCAACCAACTTCTTAAATCATGCATTTCACAAATTCCATTTAATTAGCCCACCATTTCCATTCCTTCGTTATCCAGTCCTCTGCCCGTTGATACCCGATGAGGCTTGTTGATACTCTGTGTAACTCGAGGACATATATAAACTCATGGGTATATATGTAAAGGGAGCAAGGCCAGACTATATTAAACAAACGAACCCTTTTTTTCAAGCCCAATCGTAAGCAAACTCAATTGACCGTAAACTTATCCCCCACATCAACACCTCTTTTTTGCTAATCGAGGAAGCCCACTCATGGCCCAGCACAACGTTGATGAGGGCTACATATATAGTATGTTTTTAAAAAACTGAGTGCTACATGACAGAGCAAAGTTTCCTAAAGTAACATGAGAGAAAATGATGATTTCCATCTGTTACAGGAAAGGATTGACTGCCTTGGACGACAAATCCCTAGCGGCGATGGCCAGCTGCACGACTGTGAAGAGCAGCGCAGCAAACCGAGAAACCTATATATGTCATTGGCATAACAAGGTTAAATCCAAAGTAACTCAAGCAGCAACGTCACTATTAATCTTAGTATTAAAGAACCATACAAAGCATCAAGCTTAGTACTGTAAACCGTAATACCATGATGTAGAATGTTACTAACCAATTTTGATTTTCGAAATAGGTATACAACTACTGGCTTCAATGTTTTCCATCGACTCCGCATATATTCACACCATTTATTGTTTGCTCATTATCAAATAAGCTAAATCCGACCAAATGTGTTGATCTGCTAGGAAAAACGGACCCAGTTCTACAATGCTACACAACTAAAAGAAGCCTAAGCTTAGAATTGTGATTGTACAATGCAAATAAGCAATACTTGACTGAACTGTGAAAAACAACATCCTAGTTCTAAAATTTGTCGCACTACTTTTCCTTCTAGCAACCAAAATCAACCATGCTATTGTAACACTGCTTTGCCTTTCTAACAACAAAATTAACTGCCTATTTATTGAACCATGACAAAGTTTTCAGTACTAAACAACATTACCAACCATGGTGAATCTGAAAAACGAACATTGCGTGCCAAAATTGGCAGTACTACTGAGTTATCTTCCTCTCTCGAAATTGGAAGAATGTGAATATAGCTATCCTCACGCACTTCACACATATCGGTCATCCACGCGCACCTCACACACTGAAGGTGTTGATGTTCAATTTTGTTGCATATCCTTACAAATTTACCTGCAAATCTAGGAGAAAATAGTTCCAGTCGATACAATATACACAAAACAAAAATTAAACCAGATATATATGTACTAAATAGTGAGGAGACACTACAACAACCACAATAAATTCAAAGTCACAAACAGAAAAGGGGTATGCAGCAGCTAGACCATTCACCAATGGTAGCAACTGCTTCATCTCAAATGTGACACAACTTCAACAGAATAGCAAGCAACCAGAAGCAAAAAATTTGAAGCAATAGCAAAGATAAAAGTCAAATAGCACTCACCGATAGCAACTCGAGCTCTGCGAGGCCCTCGCCAGCGCCATTGGAGACCACCAGCTCCAACGGCCCTACCATGTTTAGGTCCGTGACCCCGGAGCCGAACGCCAGGGCGTCATCGCCGGCGACGAAGTCGACCCCGTCGGGCCCGACCACCTCCTCCACCGTGGGGGCGTCGGAGCGACCCCAATCGACGGCCCCGTCGGTTGGCCCGCGCCAGCGCGACCGCGGTGCCCCTCGCGTGGGCGTGGAACTCGTAGCGTTGCATGGCGCCGACGAGCGCGCCCTCGGCGTCGAGTGGCTAGACCTGGACCTGGGCGTCGGTGTCCCAGCCATACTTGTCGACGACATCGTCGAAGAAGGTGGGATACGGGGCGGGCGTAGGTGTGGGAGGAGGCGTTGGAGGTCGCCGCGAGTGGGCACAGCGAGGCGACACTGGCGGGGGCGGGGGAGGGGAAGAGCAGCACGAGGAGCGGGAGGAGGACCAGCTCGAAGGACCCTAACATGTTCAGGCCCCTGATGCCGGAGCCGAACGCGAGGGCGCCGTCGCCGGCGACGAAGTCGACCCCGATCTCCTGGTGGGTTGGGGACGACGGCCTGAAGATTGGGGCAGGTGGAGACTGGGGTGGCAAAGCGAGAAGTTGGATCCCCTGTGGCGAAGCAGCCTCCATGTCCCGTGAACAATCGAATCTTATTTTTACTTTATTACTAACTTAGATCTGTAGCTCGGGTTAATTATCCAAAACTTCAGGGGGGCTTTGTGTAAAAAGGCCGCGACGGTGAACCCGGAGACCCAATCCGTGCTTTATTATTAGGGAGAGATATATATACCCCGCAAACATTCAGGAGCACCACGAAACCCTATTTCCACCGCCGCAACCTTCTGTACCCAAGAGATCCCATCTTGGGGCCTTTTCCGGAGCTCCGCCGGAGGGGCATTGATCACGGAGGGCCTCTACATCAACTCCATGGACGCTCCGATGATGTGTGAGTAGTTTACTTCAGACCTTCGAGTCCATAGCTAGTAGCTAGATGGTTTCTTCTCTCTCTTTGGATCTCAATACAAAGTTCTCCTCGATTCTCTTCGAGATCTATTCGATGTAATCTTCTTTTACGGCGTGTTTGTCGAGATCCGATGAATTGTGGGTTTATGATCAAGTTTATATATGGACAATATTTGAATCTTCTCTAAATTCTTTTATGTATGATTGGTTTATCTTTGCAAGTCTCTTCGAATTATCATTTTGGTTTGGCCTACTAGATTGATTTTTCTTGCAATGGGGGAAGTGCTTAGCTTTGGGTCCAATCTTGCGGTGCTCGATCCCAGTGACAGAAAGGAAAACGACACGTATTGTATTGTTGCCATCGAGGATAACAAGATGGGGTTTACACCATATTGCATGAGTTTATCCCTCTACATCATGTCATCTTGCTTAAGGCGTTACTCTGTTCTTATGAACTTAATACTCTAGATGCATGCTGGATAGCAGTCGATGTGTGGAGTAATAGTAGTAGATGCAGGCAGGAGTCGGTCTACTTGTCACGGACGTGATGCCTATATACATGATCATACCTAGATATTCTCATAATTATTCGCTTTTCTATCAATTTCTCGACAGTAATTTATTCACCCATCATAATACTTATGCTATCTTGAGAGAAGCCACTAGTGAAACCTATGGCCCCCGGGTCTATTCTCCATCATACAAGTTTCCAATCTATTTTATTTTGCAATCTTTACTTTCAATCTATATCATAAAAATACCAAAAATATTTATCCTATTATCATTATCTCTATCAGATCTCACTCTTGCAAGTGGCCGTGAAGGGATTGACAACCCCTTTATCGCGTTGGTTGCGAGGTTCTTATTTGTTTGTGTAGGTACAAGGTAACTCGCGTGTGGTCTCCTACTGGATTGACACCTTGGTTCTCAAAAACTGAGGGAAATACTTACGCTGCTTTACTGCATCACCCTTTCCTCTTTAAGGGAAAACCAACGCAGTGCTCAAGAGGTAGCAAGAAGGATTTCTGGCCCCGTTGCCAGGGAGATCTACGCCAAGTCAAGACATACCAAGTACCCATCACAACTCTTATCCTTTGCATTACATTATTTGTCATTTGCCTCTCGTTTTCCTCTCCCCCACTTCACCCTTGCCGTTTTATTCGCCCTCTCTTTTCGTTCGCCTCTTTTTCCTTCCTGCCTTCTGTGTACTCGTTCTTTTTGCAATTCGTTGCCATCATGTCTGAAACTGGGGAGATTATCATTGATAAGGATAATAATATGGAAAACTTTGATGCTATTGATGATCCTCTTGAAAATCCTATTATTTTGCACACTAAAAGGTTTTGTATTGGTAGCGGCAATATTATTGGGAAGGGAGTTATTCAAGATTTATTTACTTGTGCCGGTGCTTTGCCCACCATGAGTGGATCTATCCTTCATAAAACTAGTAGTCTCGCAGATGCTATATCTTTGCTCATAGTTGAACTTGAAAGATAATTTTTACATATGCATACTTCCATACAAAGGATTTTCCTAGAATTTTCTAATATTGAGCATTCTTCTGTTAAGCGAGCAGCAATCATCTTTTTAGCTCATGAGTTTAGATTTATAATAAAAGAAGCCAATGAAATTTTTGTGCATTATAGGGTGGATGTTGGCCGTCCTCCCATAGAAGCAATCATTTTCTATCAAGAAGACATTATGCGTTTACAATCTTTAGATCATGTTGCTTTTAATGAAAACCTTCGAAAAAAGGTTCCTATCGATGCTCTTGTTAATAGGATCTTTGAACTTAATGATAATTTTGCCATCCAGAACAATGGGCTAGGTTTTTCCCTTGAACAAAGACTCATGACTTTTTGCCAAAAGAATGCTTATAATGATGAATTGGTTTTACAATATCAGGGGCCAAAGGAGGAACCAATACTTCCCGAGCTTGATCTTGGGGACTTTTGTCCCATTAAATTTAGCCCTTTTGATTACTTTTGTTTGCCACAAAGAAAGCTTGCTTCTGAACATAGGGAGTATGAGATGAGTTTTCGCGATTTACCTTATCATTATCGTGGCAATACCTAGATCTATCTTTGCTTTTACGCCTAGCTAGGGGCGTTAAACGATAACGCTTGTTGGGAGGAAACCCAATTTTATTTTTATTCCTTACTTTTTGCTCCTGTTTAGTAATAAATAATTTATCTAGTCTCTGTTTCGGTTGTGTTTTTTGTGTTTAATTAGTGTTTGTGCCAAGTAGAACCGTTGGGAAGATTTGGGGAAAGTCTTTGCGATCTTGCTGTAAAAAACAGAAACTTTAGCGCTCACGAGAATTGTTGCCATTTTTTATTGGAGAGTGCTATTTAGTTAATTCTTTTTGAAGATGATTAATAGATAAATTCCTCACGTCCAGCAATTTATTTTAGAATTTTTGGGGTTCCAGAAGTTTGCTTTAGTTATAGATTACTAACCTATTAACCGGAGGCCCAGCCCAGAATTATTGTTGTTTTTTGCCTATTTTAGGGTTTCAAAGAAAAGGAATATCAAACGGAGTCCAAACGGAATGAAACCTTCGGGAACATGATTTTCTCAATGAACAAGACCCAGGAGACTTGGACCATACGTCAAGCAACCAACAGGGAGGCAACGAG